TGTGTGTGTGTGTGTGTGTGTCTGAGTTTTGACTGTTTTGTGCCCTTGTGATTTGTTACTGTGTATGTGTGTGTGTAACGAAATAAAATTCCCAAGTGTGCAGAGGCTGGTCCACTACCTAACACTCCCAACTTAAGCCACTCTCAGACACATCCCGTCACTCAAAGCAATACAGCCCCATCGAGGCGCTGGTTTTCCAGGATCCAATCTCTCTGACTTTGTGGACCCCGCCATGAAGTGAATTGTAGCTGCGACGACGCCATCTTTAAGTAACTGTAAATGGAAGCTTAGTGTTGGTAATAATTTGTGGTTAGAATCAGATAAAGACGATGCTGATAGTTTCCATTTTATTTTAACTTTTTAACATTTATTCATTTTTTTGAGAGACAGAGCATGAGTGGGGGAGGGGCAGAGAGAGAGAGAGAGATACACACACACAGAATCCAAAGCAGGCTCCGGGCTCTGAGCTGTCAGCACAGAGCCCGATGCAGGGCTCGAACTCACCAACGGTGAGATCATGACCTGAGCCGAGGTTGGCTGCTTAACCGACTGAGCCACCCAGGCACCCCTGATATTCTCCATTTTAGAAGTAATGTATAAAGAGTTGGAAACCTTCACTGACATCTTCACAAGAAAAACATTAAACAAACTGAAAATCAACAACTTTTTTTTTTAAGACCCATCAGAAAATAGAAGTCACAAAGGAAACCACACCCCAAATTTTGGAAAAAGCGGCAAATACTGAAAATCATGGCAGGTATGAGCTTACCTGAAGCAGAAGCTGCTGGAATCATAAACTGTTACACACTCTTCACTGGTAATTTTGGTGAACTGGAGGTTTAGTGTGGACTACATTGTGAGTTTAAACTCCTGGAGCCCTAGATGGGCTCTCCTACTTTCATGGATTTTACCTCCAGGAACTCCACCAAGTTTTAACGCTAAAGGTCAGGGTGGGGGAATCTTCTTGAGTTTTGGGCAAGGGGAGGGGAAAAGTAAACATTTTGTAGTACACTCAGAGCATTTTCCATAACAAAACCCTGCACTTAGGAAAACTACATACCAGAGCCTTTTTGGACTTGAGGGAAGGCATTTGGACAGGTCCAGCCTCTCTAGTCTTTCTGCCTCAGTAAAGGCTAAGAAGCACTTCTGAAGGTCAGAGTCCAAGTGCTCAAGCCCACTGAAAAGCTGAGATTTAATCATAAGATTATACAATAGTTCCCCTTCCCCTTAATAGACTGCATACAGCTAAGGAAAGAGTGAGTGAGTTTGAGGACATGCCAATAGAAACTCTTCCAACTGAGATACAAAGAGAAAAAAAGAATGAAAAACACTCAGGGGGTGCCTGGGGTGGCTCAGTCAGTTGAGCATTGGATTCTTGATTTAGGCTCAAGTCATGATCTCACTGTTCAGAGCCTGCTTGGGATTCCCCCCCCCCCCCCAATTCTCAAAATAAATAAAACTTTTAAAAAAGAGTACCAAAATAACAACCATCAGAATATCCAGGAACCATGGGACAATTACAAAAGGTATAACATATGCATAATTGTAATACCAATAGAAGGAAGGAAAAGAAATATTTGAAGTAATAACAGCTGAGAGGTTTCTAAAATTAAAATGACAGACACCAAGCCACAGATCCAGGAAGCATAGACAATACCATGGCAGGACAAATATATACAAAAAATATATACACCTAGGCATATCATATTCAGGATGCAGAAAAATTAAAGATAAAATCTTGGAGGATTGCCAGAGGGGAAAAGACACCTAAGGGAGAAAATAATAATATAAAAGTCTCAATTAAAACCAAAGATGACATAAAGAAAAGGGGAAACAAAATATTGATTATGTAAGGTGACTGTCAATCTAGCACTCTTGCTAATGCCCTTACAGGTTCTAATTGGTTTTTATAGGTAAATCTTCATATCTAATTGGTTTTTATAGGTAAATCTTCATATCTATCAGTTATATCTACTCTCTCCCTATCACTGCGTCTCTTAGTTCTTTCTTTCCTTACGGGATGGCTGGACCTCCAGTACCATGCTATTTGGTAGGAGCAATACTGGATGTACTTGTCTTATTTTTAGTGTCAAAGTGAAAACATTAAGTACAGTTGTACTTATTATTTTTTTATGTTTATTTATTTTTGAGAGAGAGAGAATGTGAGTGGGGGAGGGGCAGAAAGAGAGGGAGACAGAGAATCTGAAGCAGGCTCCACACTCAAACCCATGAACTGTGAGATCATGACGTGAGCTGAAATCAAGAGTCAGTCACTTAACCATCTGAGCTATCCAGGCACCGCCAGCAACCCTCAGTTTTTCTCTATAGTTCTGAATCTCTTATGGTTTGCCTCCTTCTCTGTTTTTATCTTATTTTTCCTTCCCTTCCCCTATGTCCATGTTTTGTTTCTTAAATTTCACATATGAGTAAAATCATATGGTATCTGTCTTTCTCTGACTGGCTTATTTCCTTAGCATAATACCCTCTAGTTCCATCCATGTAGTTGCAAATGGCAAGATTTCATTATTTTCCTTCGCAGAGTGATATTCCATTGTGTGTGGGGGGTATATAAATATATATATACCACATCTTCTTTATCCATTCATCAGTCAGTGGACATTTGGGCTCTTTCCATACTTTGGCTATTGTTGATAGTACTGCTGTAAACATTGGGGTGTATATGTCCCTTCGAATCAGCATTTTTGTATTCTTTGGGTAAATACCTAGTAGTGCAATTGATGGGTTGTAGGGTAGTTCTATTTTTAACGTTTTGAGGAACCGCCATACTGTTTTCCCTAGTGGCTACACCAGTTTGTATTCCCACCAGCAGTGCAAAAGAATTTCCCTTTCTCCACATCCTCACCAACATCTCTTGTTTCCTGAGTTGTTAATGTTAGCCATTCTGACAGGTGTGAGGTGGGATCTCATTGTGGTTTTGATTTGTACTTCCCTGGTGATGATTGATGTTGGCCTGCTCACTTTCAAGGAAGCCAGCTGCCATGTTGTGAGCTGTCCATGTGGAAAGAATTGATGTGTCCAGACAAAAGCCAGCAAGGACCCCAACCCAGCCAACAGTTTAAATGAGTACGTCTGCAAGATGATTATCCTCCCATGAAGGCTTCAGGTGAATGTCGCACTGGCTAACAACCTGCCTGCAGCCTTGTGGGAATTGAGGCACCCAGCTAAGCCACACCTGGACTCCTTACCCAAAGAGTGAGATAATAAACATGTTTGTTTTAAGCCACTATGCTTTAGTGTAATTTGATACACAATAGCTAACTAATTTGCCACTGTACCTCTTAAACTCTATGATACAGTAAGTTAAAATAGGGATTCTCTTAGTAGTCATGGATATCACAGGGATTAGAATGACAGTAACTACTGTTATTAAAACCCATGTCATTCTTCATTCATATGAGGACTTTAAGACACAGAACAGATGAACATAAGGGAAGGGAAGCAAAAATAATATAAAAACAGGGAGGGGGACAAAACATAAAAGAGTCTTAAATATAGAGAACAAACAGAGGGTTGCTGTAGGGGTTGTGGGAGGGGGGATGCGCTAAATAGGGGAGGGGCATTAAGGAATCTACTCCTGAAATCATTGTTGCACCATATGCTAACTAACTTGGGTGTAAATTAAAAAAATAAAATTAAAAATTAAAAATACAACAAAAACACCATGTCATTAACTTAACCCATATGAGTTAATTTTTCACTCACATAATAATCCATTGCTGGTGTTCTTCAGTGACTGATGGCTTTCATCCAAGTAGTAGTTTAGGGGCCTGGAGTTCTTCCATATTGCAGTTTCGCCATTCCATGCTATCAAGATTCTTCTTTCAGCTGGACCATACAGCCGCATCATAACAAAGCCCCAATTGACATACTCCTATCCAAACCACACTGAAGATTAGTCTAATAGCCATAACTAGAAGCAAGAGTGGCTGGGTAATGTAGAACATACCTGGATATTCCCATTCCAGAATCAACTCCAGACAATAAAAAAAGGGGTGGTCATCTAGTCATAACACAGGTAGCATTAACAAATACCCAGGACCTTGGTAAATAATCATTACAGGTTTTTGGTGACCAGACCTGCTATAAACTACATGTATAAATGCAAGTCTTTTAGGAATTCCAGTGGAAATGTTCATAGTGGTTTTTGTTACACTCATTCAAGAGTACTCAGTCCTTTTTCTTTTTTTTTTTTTTTATGTTTATTTTTTAGAAAGAGGTAGAATGCGAGTGGGTTGGGGCAGAGAGGGAGGCACAGAATCCGAAGCAGGCTCCAGGCTCCGAGCTGCCAGCACAGAGCCTGACGTAGGGCTCGAACTCGCGAGCTGTGAGATCATGACCTGAGCTGAAGTCGGCCGCTCAACCGACTGAGCCACCCAGGTGCCCCTACTCAGTCCTTTTTCTATTGACACAAGTCTGTGTGGGACTTGACAGCCATGCCATGAAGTGTTTTTAACTAAAACAAAACCTTAATGCGGTTTCAACCCTGGGGATCAATGATTAAATATGGTGGAAAGATCAAGTATCAGAACATCCTTGGAGTTCTGCGGTTTATTACAACGATTTCATTTTCTTCCTGTGGCTAACAGTTACCCTGTAATTCAGCTACAACACATGACATATTTCAGTACTCCCTTTTCAAATGCAATCTGTCATGAGAAGTCCCAATACATAAAGGAGGAGGCTTGAGGAAAATTTTAAGATGTTAGTGCTTCACGTCAAAAGAACATGGAAAGGCTACCGGCCCCTGACAGGGGAACTTGCAAAAGGTGAGCCAGAGACTTAGACATAAATAACCCAAGCCAGCATTTTAAACCCCTGAATTCTTTTGTCTTCTGTCACAAGGGAGATATGGCAAGGAGGATGAGTAGGGAGGTTTCTTAAGGCTTGAGAGAATTCAAAGTTTTATAAGATGCTTGAATCTTTCATGATGGCTCCATTTTAACAACATAGATTCAGATCTTTCTTAAGACTTCAGTTTCATTTAAGAGACATGACAAGTTGGGATTCAGTAAAAAATCATAGCTCAACAACTAACTGGACCCACTGTGGCTTTCATGGTTAGAGAGTAAGATGATTCCCAACATAATCACAAAAAGGCCTTGATTTAACTCTTTGTTTAAGGCCACAATTTCAAGTGGCCTTTTAATGATCTAATTTCATTATAAACAAGCATCACACATGCTTTTTGGACTAGGATTCCTCATCGCCTTTCATTGTTGCTAAGAGCTACCTAATCATTAATGTGCCATGGGCTTATAATCCTCCCCTATCAAAGAGAGCCTTTCTGAGGTGCCTGAGTGGCTCAGTTGGTTAAGTGTCTGACTCCTGATTTCCACTCAGGCCATGATCTTGCTGTTCGTGGGATCAAGCCCTGTGTCTGGCTCTGCCCTGACAGAAGGGAGCCTGCTTGGGATTCTCGTGCTCTCCCTTCTCTCTGCCCCTCACCTGCTCTCTCTCTCTCTCTCTCTCAAAAATAATTATTAAAAAAATTAATGGGGCGCCTGGGTGGCACAGTCGGTTAAGCGTCCGACTTCAGCCAGGTCACGATCTCGCGGTCCGTGAGTTCGAGCCCCGCATCAGGCTCTGGGCTGATGGCTCGGAGCCTGGAGCCTGTTTCCGATTCTGTGTCTCCCTCTCTCTCTGCCCCTCCCCCGTTCATGCTCTCTCTCTGTCCCAAAAAAAAAATAAATAAACGTTGAAAAAAAAATTAATAACAGCCTTTCCTAGGGTTGAATGCATCACTGTATTTATAGCAGCATTATTTACTGTAGTCAAATTATGGAAGCAGCCTGTGTCCACTGATAGGTGGATGGGTAAAGAACATGTATACACACACACACACACACACACACACACACACACACACACAATGGAATATTAGCCATCAAAAGGAATGGAATCTTGCCATGTGCAATGACACAATGGAACTAGACAGTTTATGCTAAGTGAAATAAGTCAGAGAAAGACAAATGCCACAATTTCACTCATGTGAGGAATTTAAGAAACAAAACAAATGAGCAAAAGGAAAAAAGACAAACCAAGAAATACTCTTAAACCAATGGTTACCACCAAGGAGGTGGCTGGCAGGATGGGTGAAATAGATAAAAGGGATTAAGAGCACGGTTCTCTTGATGAGAACTGAGCAATGGATAGAACTGTTGAGTACCTATATTGTACATCTGCAACTACTATAACACTGTATATTATCTACACTGGAGTTAAAATAAAATTGAAAAAAGAATAGCCATTCCTAATACAAAACAAAAGTTTCTCATCTTTTGATCTATCTCAGCGATCCTTAATATTCTGCTTCCCTATTGATAATCATTTTCTTTTTTCTTTTTTTTTTTTTTAAGTTCATTTATTTTTGAGAGTGAGCACATAAGGGAGGGGCAGAGAGAAAAGGAGACAGAGGATCCAAAACAGGCTCCATGCTGACAACAGAGAGCCCGATGAGGGGCTCAAACTCACAAACTGTAAGATCATGAGCTAAGCCAAAGTCAGACACTTAACTGACTGAGCCACCCAGGCGCCCCTGATAATCATTTTCTAGTATCAGTTGCCACATGGGCTAGCTTTGGGAACAAAAAAAGCAGATTTTAACTTAAAATTAGAATATGTTTTTTTAAGTAGGCTTCGTGTCCAGTGTATAGGCCAACACAAGGCCCAAACTGGCGACCCTCAGATCAAGACCTGAGCTGAGATCAAGAGTCAGACGCCCAACCCACTGAGCCACCCCAGGCGCCCCAGAAGTTAAATATTGGAAGAATACCAAGTACTTCACAGATTTAAAAACCTGGACAGGAATGGTTTTAGTGGATCAGACTGGCATGTAGGGGTGCAGAAATCTTCAGGCTGCTGTCAAAAAATGGCTCACTTCCAACGATGGTACTTCCTTCCGCTAGTACAAGGGCCCCAGCCCATCACAATGGACACCGACTATGCAAGGCTGAACATTGGCCCTGCTCCTGTCCCTGTGTCTCCAAACCACAAATGGGAAATCTGATTGGCTTAATTGCAGCCACGTGTGACTGGCAGTTCACCAGAGCACCACAGAATGAAGAAAGGGAACGTGCCAACAAAGAGCTAGAAGTGGGTGTGCGAAAGACAAAAAACAGATTTGGGGCACCTGGGTGGATCAGTTGGTTAAGCCTTTGACTTTGGCTCAGGTCATGATCTCATGGTTCATGCGTTCAAGCCCCACATTGGACTCTGTGCTGACAGCTCAGAGCCTGGAGCCTGCTTCAGATTCTGTGTCTTCCTCTCTCTCCGCCCCTCCCCTGCTCATGCTGTCTCTCTCTCTCTCAAAAATGAATACACATTAAAAAAATACTTTATAATACAAAAAAAGACAAAAAAGGTTTCAACATTTATACTGAAAAAACATGTATACACACACACACACACACACATATACACGCAAACATATATATATCCAATATTAATTTTGACTCTATGGCTACAAGATGAGTTTACATATTAGGTTTTGCAAGTCGCATGTTTCTTTTAATATATTGTGGATGGACAACTCTCCATAGAGGCATACATAGAATTTAATATCTTTCTTCTAACCAGACAATACAGTATTGGATAATCACAATTTAATGAACCTGCTTGGCAGGATGCTGAAATCCAATTTATCATAATTACAACAATTCTGCAATCAACATTATTTACATCTATTTATTCCAACGGGACAACACTCCTAGATCCAGAGTTACTGTTGCAAAAGGAATGCACATTTATAATGTTGGTAGGTCATACTATATTGCCATCCTGAAAGACAGGAGACCGATTGACACTGCTGATGATCAAGTATCTGTTTGCCCACACTGATGCCAATAGTGGATATTATCCAAATGTTAGACTGAAATCCATCGGAAAGCCAAGAAATTTTGTTTTAACTTGTAATTTTCTGATGAGTAAGACTAAGAACTTTACAGATTGTCTTTACTCATTTGAACTCTGCAACTGACATGCCTGTTGGGAATGCACTTTTTTCCCACTGCTTTGTATGTGCAATAGCTCTTTGTTCCTAAATGACTTGTCACATAACTTGTATTAGTCTGTCAATTGTCTTTCACATCTTTTGGGGGCCTTTCACCATTCTGAAGTTTTAGATCTTTGTATAAGCCAACTTACTCTTTTGCCCATGTCTTCTAGGACCCAAGTTAGGAAAGATTTCCTCTTTTTTAGGTTGTTTCTTGCATATCACTTCCTAATTAGAAATGTTAACAACAATTTAAGTGTGTGTGGTTTTTTTTTTTTTTTGACAGAATGGATAACCAATTGTCAAAACATAATTTCCCCCATAATGAAAAACCAGTCTTAGTTTATACCAAAATCTGAAATGCTAAGAAACCTATTTTTAAAATGTCCTGCTTATGCTTGCCACATTAGCTTTCCTTGTGCTGTTTCAACTAGAACTGTCAAAGTAAACATATCCTACGGGGACTCTGTTGTGAATGACAATTTACAAACACTTTAACAGTACTGAGTATTTCATCTAGAAAAACAGATTTCTCCTCTACCGACATATTCTCATAGTTCAGCAATTCCTTTTTATGTCTATTCATAAGTTGCCTTGTAGTTTGTCTGGTTTTTGAAGTGAGAGTTGCATTATGCTCATAGAAATGATTAGAACTTTTTGTATAGTCTCCGTGCTACAGCAGGGTTTGGCAGACTTTTTCTGTAAAAGGAAAGAGAGTAAATATTTGAGCCTTGCCTCAATACTGACTCAACTCTGCCATTGTGGAGTGAAAGCAGCCACAGGAAATACGTGAACAAGTGAGTGTGAATGTACGGCAATAAAACTTTATTTACAGACGCTGACATTTAAATTTAATGTAAATTTTCACGTTGTCACAAAATCTTCTATTCACTTGTTCAACCATTTAAAATTTTAGACCATGGGCCATACAAAACCAGTCAGTGAGACTTTGACCGTGAGTCACAGTTTGCTGAGACCTGCTTTAGATCAGTTTAGCTTATCAGTTGACAGTTCCTTAAAAGTTTAATGAGTTCATAGGGGCGCCTGGGAGCTTAGTCAGTGAAGTGTCCGACTTCGGCTCAGGTCATGATCTCGCGGTTTGTGGATTCGAGCCCCGCGTCTGTCTCTGTGCTGAAAGCTCAGAGCCTGGAGCCTGCTTCGGATTCTGTGTCTCCCTCTCTCTCTCTACCCCTCCCCCACTCATATTGTCTCTCTCTCTCAAGAATAAGTAAACATTAAAAAAAAAAAGTTTGAGTTCATTTGTGAGCTCAGGTGATTTTAAATAGATCAGATCTTTCCAAATTTTCTAAGTCTTGAGTACCATGTCAACAGTTTTAACTTTGTGCGTATAAATCTTGCATTTTTTTATTGTTTCAGCTCTTTTGTTCCAAACGGACCACTCATCCACGTTCTCTACACTAAGACTGTTCTCAGATGGATAGTAAAGCTGAATTTCCTCACCAATAAAGTCGCATCACCTCACATTTATGCAGATGAGCTGGAAAGCCACAGTTCTAACTCAACATTATGGAACCGAGTTTTAAACCACTGCTGGCCAAACCTCACTGACTACCTGTAAGCTACCTCGATGGGTGTCTCCTGGCCTCCTTCTATGCACTGTTTTATTCAGAGCTGACCCTGATGACTCTTCAATGTTCCCAGACAATGTTTTTTCAACACCTGGGATGAACCAGGCACCGTGCTAAGCACATCTTACGGATTAACCAGTTTAAAGGATCCCAACGCAAGTTTTTATATGAGGAGTGATCTGTATTTACACTTTTAAAAAAATCAGGCTGACTGCAACGTGGAGAACTCATAAAGGAAACAACAAAACCACACTGAACAGACAGAGGGGCCCGTGTTTGAACTACTGGAACAGTCCAGCTGAAATAACACTGAGACTAGGGTGATGACAGTGACGGCGGACCCCAGAGGAACCTGGGGAGAAGATCCACAGGACTCGATGTGGAAGGGAAAGACGGGCGTGCTGTTGCCTCTCCATTATGAGTTCTTGGGTGAGCAAGGTGTGCGCTCTGCCTGAAGACTTTCCTGCTTTTCTTGTAGTTGTAGGATCTCTCTCCAGTGTGGACTCTTTTATGTTGATTAAGGTGTCCGATTTGGATGAAGGTTTTCCTACATTCTTTGCATTCATATGGTTTCTTTCCAGAGTGAATTCTCTGATGTACACTAAGGGACTGGCGATGGCTAAAGGCTTTGCCACATGCACTACATTCATAAGGTTTTTCTCCTGTATGACTTCTGCGATGACAAATAAGGGATGACTTTGTCTTGAATGCCTTCCCACATTCAATACATTCATAAGGTCTTTGGCCAGTGTGAAGCCTCTGATGTTGAGTACAGGATGAGTTATCACCAAAGGCCTTCCCACATTCGACACATTTGTAGGGTTTCTCTCCAGTATGAACTCTCTGGTGTTGAATGAGGTGTGTGGTTTGGCTGAAGGCTTTACCACATTCCTTACATTCATATGGTTTCTCTCCCGTATGAGTTTTCTGATGCTGTGCAAGGTGAGCCTTCTGGGTGAATGCTTTACTACAAACCTTACATTCATAGGGCTTCTCTCCAGTATGAATTCTCTGGTGAGTAGCCAGCTGTGAACTGATGCTGAAGGATTTACCACATTCCCCACATTCGAAGGGCTTCTCCCCAGTATGGATCCTCAAATGACTAGCAAGGTGTATATTCTGCCTAAAAGCTTTCCCACACTCTTTACATTTAAAAGGCTTTTCTCCAGAATGTACTCTTTGATGTTGAGTGAGTGATGCATGATGGCTGAAGGCTTTTCTGCAAACATCACATTCATATGGTTTTTCTCCAGTATGAATCCTTTGATGCACAGTAAGGGATGAGCCATACCTAAAGGATTTGTCACATACATCACATTTGTAGGGTTTCTCTCCAGTATGAATTCTCCTATGTTGATTAAGTCCTATGTGATCACTGAAGGCTTTCCCACAATCGATGCAATCAAAGGGTTTCTCCCCAGTGTGGTAATATCTCCAATGACGTATAAGGGATGTGTTCTGTATGAAGGCTTTCCCACATTCAATACATTCATAAGGCTTCTTGCCAGTGTGACATCTCTGATGTCTAGCAAAGGATGAGCCGTCACTGAAGGCCTTTCCACATTCGTTACATTTATAGGGTTTCTCTCCAGTATGAATTCTCTGATGAACAGTAAGGGATGAGCTCTGGGTAAAAGTTTTCTTACATTCATTACATTTGAAAAGTTTTTTTCCTGCATAAATTCCTGTATGTCTTATTACCACTGAATTTTTGGGAAAATTTTTCTTAACTGAATCATGATTATGAACTCTCTCTTCTGAAATGTCCAAATGAAACCATCTTCCAGATTTGTTAAAAGTACGTTCTCTTTCCTTCGAGAGCATCTTGTTATGAGTGATTGTCTCTTGCCTGAATTGTGTCTCCTGACCTACCAGCTTCCTTTCAAACACACCCTCAGAACCCCAATTTTCTCTGAAAGTGGAACACTCCAAATTAGTGTTTGAAGTTCTGTCTGTTACTTCAGCAAATGAATCCTGCTTTAGAAATAATTCCTGGGTCTCATGTATAGATTGTTGACCTGAAAGATATCAAGAAATAAATATCTCCTTTATTGTGTGCTAGAAAAAAAAAGGAATTTGTTAAAAGGGAATTGTGAATGAATTCAGTGGTTGGTGAATTAAACCCTAATTAAACCACATAAACTAGGTGCCTCTAACATGTAAACATGGGGTCTACAAAGTATGTAACTAAGCCCCAGGAGCCTAGGAGGGGCGAGTAGAAAAGAATTAAGTGTTTGTGGAATCAGTTACATATTAGGGGAAAGGAACTAGGAAAACGTTCTGCAATCACACCACCTAAAAATTCTCTGGCATTCATTGCCTTTACTCTCTCTCCTGCCCTGTCCATCCTACTTCAATGTCAGAGCAGTCATCACATCACAAAAGCTATTCCAAGAAGCAAACCCAAAGCACAAAAAGGAGAACTTATTCTTCAACATTTCCCACGATTATCTGAAGGGTTATTCCCCTACAACCAGAAAATGGTGTTTCTGCTAACTGCATCTTCTTTGATTAATTTTAACAAAACCTACATTACCAACTGACAGCAGAAGCTCAGTGGACATAGAATACCATTTTTACACCTACCTGCATGCTTTCACAGGCCTGACACTTCTCTGGCCATATATCAATGCACAGGACCTTGCAATTTAAGTTCTCAGTTTGAAGCAACTGTTTTTACAAAAACAATGAGCGCTACCATTATATTTCATCACACCACATACACAACTGAACAATCATATGTCTTACCTCGGACTCTAACGCTTACGTGGAGGAGTGTATATGCCTGAAGTCTTTTTGCTAAAATCACTTAGCATGCACCCAAAATTTGTGCACGTATAGTTATATCTCAATAAATACATGTAGACGAAAGTGGTATTGCAGAGATGATGCAGAGAGTCAAATGTCTGGGGGAAAAATGATCTTAAAAAAGGGAAAATAAACTCTTTTTAAATGACATCTAAACACTAAAAGTTTTCCTTCTTAGATTGGTAACAAGACAAGGATGCCTGCTTTTCCAACTTCTACTCAACACGGTACTGGAAGTTCTAGCCAGAGCAATTAGAAATAGAAAAGGCATCCTAGCTAGAAAGGAAGAAGTAAAACTGTATGTGTAAATGGTGTGATCCCATATATACAAAACCCTAAAGAATCCATGAGAAAAGTATTAGAGCTAATATATCAATTCATCAAAATTATAAGATACAAGATCAACACAGAAAAATCAATTGTACTTCTATACACTAGAAATGAACAATCTGAAAAGGAAATTATGAAAGCGATTCCATGAAAGATAGCTTAAAAGAATGACTTATTTAGGAATAAATTTACCCAAGGAGGCACAAAACTGTATGCTGGCAACTATAAAACATTGCTGAATGAAATCAAGAGGACATAAATGGGAAGACATCCTGTGTTCATGGATAGGAAGAGAGCAAGAAAGAAAGAAGTAACTCAAAGAAGACCAAATTTGTGATGTGGTACAAATGGATGATACACATATTAATAAAAAGAAAAAACTATCAGGAAAACAAAAGGTCAACATAAATAAAGACTTCTACGAAAGCTTCTGTGAATAAAGATACCACCCGACTTAAACTACTGCATGGTGAGAAGAAACAGCATGTGCGAACTAACAGGCTACACAAAAGTGGGAACAAAATGTATCACGTTTTTGAGACAGGGTTTATATTCATACTATATAAAGGCAAGAAAATATGACCCAACAGAAATGTAGGAAATGAGTATAAAGACACCATTAACAGAATATGAACTCCAAATGGACTTAAAATTTTTTTTAACATTTATTAATTATTGAAAGACAGAGAGAGACAGAGCACAAGCAGGGGAGGGGCAGAGAGGAGGAGACAAAGACTCCGAAGCAGGCTCTGGCTCCGAGCTGTCAGCACAGAGCCCGACACAGGGCTCGAACTCATGAACCGTGTTATCATGACCTGAGCCAAAGTCGGTCGCTTCACCAACTGAGCCACCCAGGCACCCCTGAACTCTAAATGGATTTAAACTGCCTATTTCTCAACATTACAAGTACTTGGGGAAATGCAAATGAAACGAAACCTCCATTTTCACCCAGGAGTTTCATAAAAAGTAAAAAAAATACAAAGTACTCGCGACTGGTGAAGATGCCTAGAAACAGGTATTCTTATATACTGTTCCAATGGTATAGCATTATATCCATGAAACTTTTTTTTAAAGAAAATGTATACTTTGATCATGTACAAACTGGACCACGGCTTATTATAGGTAAAAACAGGAAAAGACCTAAATGTTCAAATATCCTTAACAGTAAACCAGTTAAGTAAATCATGGTATATCTATTTATTGTTATACTAGGCATCCATCAAAACAATGATGTAGGGGCGCCTGGGTGGCTCAGTCGGTTAAGTGCCAAATTCAGCTCAGGTCATGATCTCACAGTTCGTGAGTTCGAGCCCCGCATCAGGCTCTGTGCTGACAGCTCAGAGCCTGGAGCCTGCTTTGGATTCTGTGCCTCCCTCTCTCTCTGCTCCTCCCCTGCTCACACTCTGTCTCTCTCTCTCTCAAAAATAAATAAACTTAAAAAATAAAAATAAGAATAAGCACAAAAATAAACTCAAAATGGATAAAGGACCTGAATGTGAGACAGGAAACCATCAAAACTCTAGAGAAAGCAGGGAAACAACCTCTCTGACCTCAACTGCAGCAATTCCTTACTTGACACATCCCTAAAGGCAAGGGAATTAAAAGCAAAAATGAACAATTGGGACCTCATGAAGATAAAAAGCTTCTGCACTGCAAAGGAAACAATCAACGAAACTAAAAGGCAACCAACGGAATGGGAAAAGATATTTGCAAATAACATATCAAAGGGCTAGTATCCAAAATCTATAAAGAGCTCACCAAACTCCACACCCGAAAAACAAATAATCCAGTGAAGAAATGGGCAGAAAACATGAATAGACACTTCTCTAAAGAAGACATCCAGATGGCCAACAGGCACACGAAAAGATGCTCAACGCTGCTCCTCATCAGGGAAATGCAAATCAAAACCACACTGAGACACCACCTCACGCTGGTCAGAATGGCTAAAATGAACAAGTCAGAAGACTATAGATGCTGGAGAGGATGTGGAGAAACGGGAACCCTCTCGCACTGTTGGCGGGAATGCAAAGTGGTGCAGCCGCTCTGGAAAACAGTGGGGAGGTTCCTCAGAAAATTAAAAATAGACCTACCCTATGACCCAGCAATAGCACTGCTAGGAATTTACCCAAGGGATACAGGAGTGCTGATGCATAGGGGCACTTGTACCCCAATGTTTAGAGCAGTGCTTTCAACAATTGCCAAATTATGGAAACAGCCTAAATGTCCATCAGCTGATGAATAAAGAAATTGTGGTTTATATACACAATGGAGTACTACGTGGCAATGAGAAAGAATGAAATATGGCCTTTTGTAGCAACGTGGATGGAACCGGAGAGTGTGATGCTAAGTGAAATAAGCCATACAGAGAAAGACAGATACCATATGGTTTCACTCTTATGTGGATCCTGAGAAACTTGACAGAAACCCATGGGGGAGGGGAAGGAAAAAAAAAAAAAAAAGAGGTTAGAGTGGGAGAGAGCCAAAGCATAAGAGACTCTTAAAAACTGAGAACAAACTGAGGGTTGATGGGGGGTGGGAGGGAGGGGAGGGTGGGTGATGGGTATTGAGGAGGGCACCTTTTGGGATGAGCACTGGGTGTTGTATGGAAACCAATTTGACAATAAATTTCATAAAAAAAAAAAAAAAGAGAACTGACCCTCTCACCCTGAACTACACTGACCCCTCACATAGAAAGGTCATCAATGCTGTGACCAAGGGGTTAGACATCACAAGAGATAACCATAGTTCAGTGGGATTTCATTTTAATATAAATAAAAGTTTCTAATAATATGAAATCACCAGGGATTCTGCCACTGTCAAATTCTACAGTTAGAATTAAATGAAAACTGTATTTTTATATCTAACAGTAGAATTCAATGATGTGACCTGCAGATTAGAAGGAGTCAAGTATTTAACCATTTTTGTGTCATGGAGTCAGGGACAGCAATTCGAAATTGGGCATAATGCACACCACCATTGTAGCCAGCAGCGATATACTCAGCAACCTGGCCAAAAATCTCTGGTTATGGTGGAATTACAAGGTTCCTCAAAAAGTTAAAAATAGATCTACCCTATGACCCAGCAATAGCACTGCTAGGAATTGACCCAAGGGATACAGGAGTGCTGATGCACAGGGGAACTTGTACCCCAATGTTTACAGCAGCACTTTCAACAACAGCCGAACTATGGAAAGAGCCTAAATGTCTACCAACTGATGAATGGATAAAGATGTGGTTTGTATATATAATGGAATACTACCTGGCAATGAGAAAAAATGAAATCTGGCCATTTGCAGCAACGTGGATGGAACTGGAGAGTGTGATGCTAAGTGAAATAAGCCATACAGAGAAAGACAGATACCATATGTTTTCACTCTTATGTGGATCCGGAGAAACTTAACAGAAACCCATGGGGGAGGAGAAGGAAAAAAAAAAAGGTTAGAGAGGGAGGGAGCCAAAACATAAGAGGCTCTTAAAGACTAAGAACAAACTGAGGGTTGATGGGGGGTGGGAGGGAGGGGAGGGTGGGTGATGGGTATTGAGGAGGGCACCTGCTGGGATGAGCACTGGGTGTTGTATGGAAACCAATTTCACAATAAATTGCATATTTAAAAAAAAATTAAAAAATTAAAAATTTAAAAATTTAAAAAATTAAACAAAAACAAAAACAAACAATGACGTAGAACTACACACATCAAGTTTCCGAGGACAAAAATGGAAGGACAATTTATAAAAGAAATAATACACTAGACTACATAAGAATGTTTAAATTTTTACAAAATTACAAAAAGGTCTAATTAAACAAAAACTCATTACTGTATATGAAAAAGTTTGAAACAATACATCAAAGAATTAGTATGCTAACATAAAATAAATCACTGGAACTGTTAAGAAGATAAGTTCTGTTAAGATAAGTTCTGGAACTGTTAAGACAAGAATAGAGAAATGAATATAAATGAGGAACGTTTTACAGAAGGATAAAGAAAAGAAACAAATGTATAAAAAGTATTCAACCTCTTTCACAATAAAACAAATAACTTTTGGGAATAGTCTTTCACCAGATACTAAGCAGTCAATCCCACCAGCATAGCCAGTGCTATGAGAAAGCAATTACACCCAAACATCAAGTCATCCAGTCACTGTTTAGAGTTGCTGAAAGCAAACGAAACCTTCAGAGCCTAACAGACGTTCATACCCAGAGACGCAGCCATCTCAGAAAGGTATAGCTTCCACTTACATAAAGATACTGTTGCAAGTATATATGTGCGTGTGTGTGCGTGTGTGTGTGTGTGTGTGTATACATACATACATATATTTTAAATGTTTTTATTTGAGAGAGAGAGAGACAGCAGTGGAGGGGCAGAGAGCCAGTGAGGGAGAGAGACAGAATCCCAAGCAGGCTCAGTGCTGTTAGCACAGAGCCCAACATTGGGCTTGAACCCATGAACGATGAGATCATGACCTGAGCTGAAATCAAGAGTTAAATGCTCAACTGCCTGAGCCACCCAGGCACCCCGCAAGTGTATTTTTGATACTAGAAATGTGAAGTAACCTAATTGAGAGATGGGAAAAATGACATGGAATGCATGTGAAAAACATCTGTATGCGTGGCTGAATGTACATACTGTAATTCTGACTACATGAACGATACATGTTATCATGACTTGAAGAAGTCTACAGTTGCTTTGTTAATATATTGTGATTATAGGTCATGGTTTAATATTGTTTCCAAACAGGTGATGGGATTACATTTTCTACAAATCATTTTCTTTTTTCAAGTTTTATTTATTTACCTATTAAATATTATTTTATTTATTTTTTTATTTTAGAGAGAGCAAGCGCTCATGCATGTGCAAGCAGTGGGGAGAGGCAGAGGGAGAGAGGAAGAATCTTAAACAGGCTCAGTGGGGAGCCCAATACGAGGCTCGATCCCACGACCCTGGGACTGGTTGCTAACCAACTAAGCCACCCAGGCGTTCCTCTTGTTTTTTTAAGATTTTATTTTTATAATCTATTTTTTAGTGTTTATTCATTTTTTTAAAGTTTATTTTGAGAGAGAAAGAGGGAGAGTGTGCATTCGAGTGAACAAGGGAGAGGCAAAGAGAGGAGACAGAATCCCAAGCATCTGAGCCATCAGCACAGAGCCCAATGCAGGGCTCAAACTCACAGACAGTGAGATCATGATCTGAACTGAGATCAAGAATCAGACACTTAACCAACTGAGTCACCCGGACGCCCCTTAATGTTTATTCATGTGTGTGTGTATGAGAGAGAGAGAGAGAGAGAGAGAGAGAGAGAGAGAGAGAGAGAGAACGCACGCGAACAAGCAGGGGAGGGGCAGAGAGAGAGGGGGATAGAGGATTGGAAGTGGGCTCGTTGCTGTCAGCACAGAGCCCAATGTGGGGCTTGAATGAACAAACCTTGAGATAATAACCTGAGCCGAAGCCATATGCTTAACCAAGCCACCCAGGCACCCCAAAGATCTTATTTTGAAGTGATTTCTACACCCAATGTGGGGCTCAAACCCACAACCCCAAGATCAAGAGTGGCACACTCCACCGAAATGAGTCAGCCAGGCACCCCTACCTACAAATGATTCTTTTTTTTTTTTTTTTTAATGTTGATTTATTTTTGAAAGAGAGAGAAAGAGAGAGAGAACAAGCAGGGGAGGGGCAGAGACAGAGGGAGACACAGAATCAAAGCAGGCTCCACACTGTCAGCACAGAGCCCGACGTAGGGCTCGAACTCATGAGCCATGAGATCACGACCTGAGCCAAAGTTGGACACTTAACTAACTGAGCCACCCAGGCACCCCACAAATCATTATTTTCTGAAGAAATTTCTTTTCTGTCCCTTTTATATCAAAAGAGGAAGAGAGGGGCACCTGAACGGCTTAGTTTGTTAAGCATCTGACTCTTTAGCTCCGGTCACGATCTCATGGTTCATGAGTTCGAGTGCCGCATCAGGCTTTGCGCTAAAGGTGCGGAGCCTGCTTGAGATTCTCTCTCTTCCACTTTCTCTCTGGCCCTACCCTACTTGATCTCTCTCTCTCTCAAAATAAATAAACTTAAAAAAATTTAAAAAAAAAGAGGAAGAGGCCCTCCACATATATTCTTGCAATCCAATTTCTGCCCCCCCCCCACCCCCGACTGAAACAAGGAAGCTACTAGGAATCAATCATCTCTGCCTCTGCAATGCCCTACCGGAAATTCTGCAAACTCTACTTCATTCATTCACCCATAAACATGTCTCATCCCTTCCACTGGAGGGACCATCTGCAACTTCAACATATGCGTAACTTCCCTCCCTCTCCAACTACCTTCCAACGCCAAGCAGGATGCCACCCTCAAATAACTCTCAATTCGTGGGTCTTACAGGAGCGGATGCTCAATGAAATGAGTGGGCCACGTGATCACAGAAGATAGCTCAGAAGTACGCTGGGGTCAGGACAGGGACGTGTAAGGGACTGAGCACCTCTGAGTGGCCAGGCAGAAGAAGAACATACGAGGAATGAACTATCACCCGAGAGACAGCATAAAGAGGGAGAGTACTTTTGAAGCCCAGACCTCCATTTCCTGTCCAGACCTGGAGAACCCGGTGAAGTCCTGTGGGTCTCCCGAACCTCGGTGAGGACCCGGCCCCACCCGCAGCAGCGATTCGGCCCAGGCCTGCCACACTCACCTGACCCCAGGCCCTTCGGCAGCTCTCTGTCCACCATCCAGGGCTCCTTCTCTTGCTGCAGCAGAGAGACCAAGTCGGCCTTAGACACACAGGGCCCTGCACATGGAAAGACATAGGTTCTGTCACACACATGACATTCTTCTTTTCTATTAAAAAAATTTTTTTTAAATGTTTATTTATTTTTGAAAGAGAGAGAGACAGAGTGCGAGAGGGGAAGGGGCAGAGAGAGAGGGAGACACAGAATCTGAATCTCAGGCTCCAGGCTCTGAACTCTCAGCACAGAGACCAATGTGGGGCTTGAACCCACGAACCATGAGATCATGACCTGAGCCGAAGTCAGACGCTCAACCGACTGAGCCACCCAGGCGCCCCTTTTATATATATTTTTTGAAGTTTATTTATTTTGAGGGGGAAGTGAGAGAGCACACACAAGAAGGAGAGGGGCAGAGAGAAGGAGAGAGAATCCCAAGCAGACTTCAAGCTGTGAGCGTAGAGCCTGACATGGGGCTCAATCCCATGAACCACGAGATCACGACCTGAGCCGAAATCAAGAGTCAGATGCTTAACTGACTGAGCCACCCAGGGGCCCCTTGACACTCTTAAATCGAGAACCAGTTCCTTGGTTTTGAAAGAAAAGTGTTTAATTATAGTAAGAAGTAAAAAGGAAAGTGAGCAGTATGTGAGACTCACTGAAGACGATGCTTCAAGCACAATGAAGATACCAACTAACACTAACTCTACAAATGTCAAATTCTCATCTTCAGAATCATGACAAAAATTTAGCTCAACACTTCAGAAGACCCCTCCCTGACCTCCACAATTCAAAACCAAGGAAAGGAAGTGGCGGGTCCTGAAGACGGGTCCAGATTGAGGAGAGGGACATCCTTACCTACGGACCCCAGGTCACTACGATTCTCCCACATCACATTCTTACAGAAACTCTTCTGAGCTGGGTCCAGCTGCTGGGAGAAGTCTACGGCCATGTTCGTGATGGTCACCAAGCCCTGAAACGGTACAAACACACTTTCGGATCAAACGGGCTCACGAGCCGACAGTGGCTCTGGGAAGGTGTGTGACAGAGGCTGCCCGTGCCAAGAATTCTCACTCAGGTCCTGAGTGCTCCGGGTCACATAATGACTGGGCCCGGTCATACTGTACACGTTTGGGGGAAAAAGACAAAAATAGGAGAATCTGTTTCTGCCATGGGTGATCTATAATCCTGCAGAGGAGGACGAACTTACACACAGTATGAATTTCCCAAGGCTGACTGAAGGTCTCCCCACCTTCAACATGCCCGACTCGACAAGCCTGCAGGTTTTTTCTCCCACATAATCTCTGATGACAAGGGAAGGCGGAGATCCTGCTCCAAGTTTTCTCATGTCATGGCATGCTGAATGTTTCTGATTGAGACACGCTGGTGTGTGGCTCATGACAACTGAACCGCCCCCCTCTTCTGCTGCGCATCGAGACCGCGTGCTGTTCCTTCTGGCCAGATCCTCTGTCTACAGGAAGCACCCTATTCAAATGGAAACTTCTCCCGAACTTACTGGACTCGTGGTCTCTCCCTCAAGAAGGGTCTCTTCAGGAAGGCCACTGTGTCTTAGCTCAGTGGTTGATCTCCTGACTTACCGGCGGCCTCTCAAGCAGAGCACCATAATCCAAGTCTTCCCCTAATATGGAGCATTCCAGACTGTGGTTTGTGAGTCTCTCCATGATCACCACCTGGGACAACTTTTCTTTACAGATGTCCTTCTTCGCGGGTAACTCCTTGGTCTCTGGCCCTGCCTCCAAATCTGAAAGGCATTAAGAAACCGAACCTTTCTCCATTATGTAGTAGAACGAAGAAAAATTCAAAAATGTAATCAGAGGAATTAAGATCCTCAAAGTAACATGATGTATTGAAAACTTTCTTTTTTCTTTTTTTAATTTTTTTTTTTAACGTTTCTTTACTTTTGAGAGAGACAGAGACAGAATGCGACTGGGCTAGGGGCAGAGAGAGAGGGAGACACAGAATCTGAAACAGGCTCCAGGCTCCGAGCTGTCAGCACAGAGCCCGACGCGGGGCTCAAACCCACGAGCAGTGAGATCATGACCTGAACTGAAGTCGGATGCTCAACCGACTGAGACACCTAGGCATCCCGAAAACGTTCTTATATGACTAACCAACCTTACAATCCCATGTTTATGTAGCTTTAGTCCTAAAGGATACAATATGAGCTTTCTCACGTAGATATAAGATACCAGGTGGCTGATATAAACAAAGAGAGAAAGGAGGCTAAGGGAAAAAAAACCTGCTATACAATCCTTATTTCGGCAGTATTAAGTGAAACTCACTTTGACTCTTTCTCCATTTTTCCAGCAAAAATTTCTTCTGTCTCTTTTTTAAACAGTGCCTCTTTGATTACAATGGTAACTAACAAAAGTTCCAATCCCGGCTTTAGAAGTTCAAGTCTTCATAACCAACTAGAATCTCAGCAAGACATGAAGGATTGACAGAAGGGAAAAGCCATTGTTTTAGAAAATCCAGGGAACGTGAGCCAGTATGTTAAATGGAAAAGTTTCACAAAAACACCCTTCGAGCTCTCCTGTGCCACAGGACGACCCACGAGAGTTGTTGGAAGTTGTATCTGCACAGCCTGTCCTGTTCTGTCGATGCAAACCCTTCCCTTGAAATATGATTGGAACAAAGGTATCTTACAAGACTCTCAATTCTTTGGAGATTACTGCCATTTCCTGCTGTAGTGACCTCCAAGAGCAGTCTAGAATTCCGATCTCTTGTCTTGCTCGATCAATTTGTTCCAGAAGTAACACAGTAGTTGAAATACCTGTATCCCCACATGACAGAAATATCATTATGGTATCTCTAAGACTCGTCCCCTGAATCAGAAGCAGTGCTCCTGTCCCCCGAGAGCCAGTCACCCAGCTGTCCGCGCCTGTCTGATGACAGCCTTCCAGACCCATCCCCTGGCCTGCCGGTCTCTCTTGTAAGTCTAACGTTTCTGCCAAAGACTGTACTCTCGTTCTGGTTTCCCTGGCTTCAAACTGGGAGTGATTTTCCTTCTTCCTCTTACATCCCTATTGATACTTAGCATACATGGGACAGCACTTTCTCCTTCACGTAAGCCATGGATATACACCCTACTTCTCATGCGACACGGTTAATTCTGTAAGAGCTTACAGTCATCCACCAAGCAGCATCTGATGGCCTCACTCATACGTGACCAAAAAAGTCAATGAGAGAAGTCTATACAAGAAGTAGCCTTTTAATCAAAGAGAAATAAGATAGTAAAAATGACACTGGAACCAGCCAAGGATTTTCCAAAGGACGGACATGATTATGTAAGCCTGAACAACAAAAGGTCTTAGAAGGAGCGAGGAAGAAACGGGACCCAGGGCAGGGGCAAGAAGTCATGTTCGCAGGGAGGGGAGCAGAGGCGGAGAGGAGACAGGGGAGCCCATGCTCCAGAGGCCTCAATGCCCCCCCCACGCCCGGACGCTCAGGAATTGCGTGCTGACCATCCTGCGTACCTAGGGCCTGAGCTGTGAGCCGCAGGGGCCTCACCCCAGGAGGTCTCCCACACTCACCTGGGCCCCGGCCTCTTGTCAGCCTTCTCTTCACCATCCAGGGCTCTTTCCGCTGTTCCAACGAGGAGATCATATCGGGCTTGGAAACGCAGAGTCCTACGTACAAAAGAACAGGAGGCGGTCATGCTGTGCGTCAGTGCAGACCCAAGGTGCGGGCCCCTGGGCCTGAGGAAAGGGCGACAGAGCAAGGCCCGGTGCTAAAGGAGCAGAGGGCTCTGAGTCAGGGCAGCGGCCGGGGGGAGAGGTGGCAGAATGAGGGGTGGAGGGACACCCTTACCCAGAGAGGCCAGGTTCCTGTAGTTCTCCAACATCACACTCCTGTACAGGTTCCTCTGAGCCGAGTTCAGCCACTCCCACTCCTCTTGGGAGAAATCTACGGCCACATCCCCGAACGTCACCAAGCTCTGAAAGGACAAAACCGCAGTCTTGTTCAATCAGTGCTCATGCCCCGACAGACTGGGCTTGTTATGGGCTACTTGTGTCCCCCAAAGTCATACGTCGAAGTCTAACCCCCAGTACCTCAGAATGTGATGCTATTTGGAGACAGAACCTGAAAAGGGGTTGTTAAAAGTTAACTGAAGTCATGTGGTCGGGCCCGAATCCACTCTGACAGGTGTCCTTGTAAGAGGAGGAAGCCCCACGAGGGAGGCAAGTGCACAAAGGGAAGACCGGACGGGGACACGGCAGAGAGGGCGGCTGGCTGCAAGCCAGGGAGAAGCCTCAGAGAACACCAACCCTCCCGGCACCATGACCTGGGACTTCCGGCCTCCAGAACTGACCGGGAAGATAAACGTCTGCTGTCCAAGCCTCCGGTCTGCAGGATTTTGTTACAGCAGCCTGAACAGACTAAGACAGGGGTCTAAGGATTACCTTCTCCTCATCTGGGGTAAGAGACTATACAGATAAGGAAAAACATGCAGAGAAAAGAGAAAAACATGGAGGCAATTTTGTGCAGGTGCACACACAAGAAAAATGTGATGTCAATTCAGATCAACGAATATGGAGGCTCAACTGTCCCCATGTACAACGGGTGTCAGAGTATTTTTTGACACGAGGGCCCGCGAGGGGCCTGGATCAGCACAAGAATGGGGGGAAATAAATCTGAAGATGAAACTCAAAAGGCACAGAGGACTAAACCCCAAACTAGGTTCTAAGGATTTCTATTTCACTTTCAGTGCTCATTAGATGTGGAGCATTTGTGGTAAAAACAAAAAGTAAATAAATCCACTAATAAAATCCTCTTTTCCGTTTTCTGAAATAAAGAGGAGTGTTTAGTAAGAATGACAAGTACTACAAAATGCCTTTAAGAATCAAGGTGTCACTGGGGCACCTGGGTGGCTCAGTCGGTTAAGGGCCCAACTCTTAGTTTTGGCTAAAGTCATGATCTCACAGTTTCATGGGTTCAAGCCCCACGTCGGGCTCTGCACTGACAGTGCAGAGCCTGCTTGGGATTCTCTCTCTCCCTCTCAATCTCTGTCTCTCTCAAAATAAATAAAAGAAGAATCAAGGTGCCACCTTCGAGAAGCTGGGAAGTGTCGAGGACGAGGACATACCGAGGAGGTACATGAACATGTTTGTTGCTCATCTCATCCAGAGATGGTGGATTTTTATGTAGCAGATTTTTATGATTTCAGCACAGAATTCGGACACATTCCAAGGTATTTTAAACATTAATTTAATTCAAACTGTGACCCCGGCAATCTGTGGCTTTGGCTTCCCATTAGAGGCTGTCCTCTAGGTTTAGAGGGCCAGGAGCCCTGGCATTTTAAAAGTCTATACTCAAGCCAATAAGCGGGCAAGTCCGACCACCCACAGAGCCTGAACCCAGACCGCAGCACACCCCAGCTCCCCAGCTGTATGACGGAAAAATCAACAAAACCCCACATTGTGATGTGGACTAAATAAGGGAGCACAGGCCCAGCGCGGAAGGGCCACATGTACGTGAACGTTAGCCATGATGCTGCCAACCGGAGGGTGAGCCTTCTCGCTTACAGCTTCACGTAATTCTACTGAAAACAAAGTTCCTTGGAGGTGTGGTGTCTGTTGAATAATTTCTATCGTGCCCTCTTTGACCCGCACCATCTCTGAAGGTATTCTTAACTGAACTGTGTCAAGACAAGTCAAACGGGTTCTGCATTGTAACCTGGGTGAAGACAGTAACCTTGACGCATAAATCTCCTAAGCGGGAGGCTGAAAGGCCCCACCACAGAAAACACCCGGGAATACTTGCAGGAAACAGCCCAGAGCTGCTTGGTGTGCTCTAAGCAAGCAACACGCTCATACACCCACCTGAGCGCTAGTCTAAAACGAATGCTGGCCAGCTCTCAGCAACAACTTTGCGACAATAATTTTGCAAGTTGGAGCATCTGACTTGAAAGCAGAGGAACTGATTTGCTGGCTGAATAAGTAATACGAGCACTAATTCGGAGTGCCCGGATGGCTCAGTCAGTTAAGCAGTTAAGCGTCCAAGTCTTGATTTCAGCTCAGGTCATGATCTCACAGTTTCATGCCTGCTATATCAGGCAACGTGCTGACAGCATGGAGCCTGCTTGGGATTCTCTCTCTCCCTCTCTCTCTCTGCTCCTCCCCAGCTTCTGTGAGCGCTGCCTCTCAGAATAAAGTTTAAAAAAAAAAAAAAAAAAAAAAAGAGTGCTAATTTTGCTGAGCTCTTTCCCTGGGTTGTTCATATCCACGTGCGCCAGCATGTAAATGCCTTCAAATTCTGAAAACTGTGCAAGGCTCGGTGGAATCTTCGAGCATACTGAAACTCAAGCGTTTCGAGGCTGGTGCGGAGCAAAATAAGCCAGACACAGAAGAACAAGCATTGCACGATCTCAGTTATATGTGAAGCTAAAACAGTCAAACTTACAGAAGCAGAAAGTAGAATGCCGGTGGCAGGGGCCAGGGGAGGAGGAAATGCAGAGGTGGTGGTCAGGCGAACAAAGTCTCACACAGGATGAATGCGTTTTGGAGACGTAATGTATAGCATCACACCCGCAGCTAACAATACTATGTTGCATCCTTAAAATTTGCTAAGAGGGCAGATGTTAGGTTGAGTGTTCTCGCCACCAAAAATAATAATGATGACGATGATGAGGGCAGGAGGAAACTTTGGAAGGTGATGAATAAGCTTATGGCCTTGATGGCGGGCACGGTCTCACCAGGACACACTTTCCCTCAAACTCCTCAAGTTGTACACATTAAAAATGTGCAGCTTCCTACATGGCAATCATACCTCAACAAAGTGGCTTAAACACAAACAAAAAACCCTTTCCATACAAATATTTTAAACTGTGTTCAAAGATACAGGTGCTCGGACAGATGCTACTGCTCTGCTTTTCTTCTGACCTGATTCTAGAAGCCAGGTTCTCACGGATTCCAGCCTTACAGTTCTAACTACACGCTCCCTCCTCGCACTTCTTTATTTTCCGGACATTCAGATATTTCAAAAATCTGTCAGATATCTTTTATCAAATGAAACGAATCACATAGAGTATATGAATGATACACAAATTACAACACCTTTTTAAAATCTGTAATATCTTTACAGCATCTTTACAATAACTTCGTAAGTCTGTTGGTACAAGAGAAAATGGTGCCCATTTTTCTAGCCTTTGTTACTACTTGGTCATCAGTAATAAAACCAGAATTGGGAGCTCCTACAAAGAAGAGTGTAAGTTCCAGTATTTTCTCATATTTGCCAACTGGGTTTTTTGGGGTTTGATTTTTCTCAGTAAGAAATGTCCCCTTATCCACCTCTCTACTCCTATGTTCCAGAGAGACCTAACATTATCAGTATAACCTTCCAAGTAAGACATTTTCTCAGTTTATACAGACTGCCCTTTATGTACAGAATCAATGGCTTCAGTTAGTGCTGCGGTCTGAATGTTTGTGTCCCCCCAGAATCCATACACTGGAATCCTAACACCCAGTGTGATGGCATCTGGAGGTGGGGCCTTTTGGGGGTGCTTTGGTCATGAGGGTGAACCCTCTCAAATGGGCTGCGTGTCCCTATAAAAGAGACCCTAGAGGGCTCCAGAGCCCCCCATGTGAGGACACAGAGAGGAGGCACCAGCAACAGAACAGGAAGCGGGTCCACATCAGGCACCACCTACAATCTGCCAACAGCGTCCTCTTGGCTCTTCCCAGCCTCCAGAACGTGAGAAATGAATGTGTGCTGTATAGAAGCCGCCCGCTCTGTGGTGATCTGTGAGCGCAGCCCAGAGTAAGAGAGCTAACAAAGGTCTTTTACTGTAAACAGCAACAATTATCGCTCACAACACTTGTAATAGTCCAGACACAACTCTGAACTTACTCAACCCCCACAACCCTGAGGGTTGGTACTGTCACCATTCCCCTTTTACAGATGAGGAACAGAGAGCTCTAACTTGCCCAAGATCGTGGAGTCAACTGCAGAGCCAAGATCTGGAACCCAGCAGTCTGGCTCCATAGTGCACACCCTTAACCTTGACATCAGGGATCAGCAAAGGCTTTCTGTAAAGGGCCAGACAGCAAACGTCTTAGGCCAGACAGCTTCTGTCACGACTCAACTCTGCTCTTGCAGCGTGAAAGGTGCCACAGACGATACCTAAACCGCAGTGCTCTGCTGAAAGGAGGTTTCGTTTATGGGCACCAGAACGTAAACTTCTATAATTTCCACATGTTATGACATACTGTTTGTCATTTTTTTTCAATCACTGCAAACGGAAAGACCATTTGTAGCTCACAAGCTATACAAAAAGAGGTGACGGGCCGGATTAGGCCAGTTTGCCAACTCCCGTCCAATGGTTACATTAACGCACATCATCTAAGGCTCTGGTGTGTACGTTTCTAAACCACCATGACACGAGGGTGCTGAGAGCTAACACTTCCTGAGATCTTACCAAGTGCCAGGCACCTTTACTCTGTTCTAGGCACTGTATCTATACTAACTTAGTTAACCCTTACAAGAACCATACTAGGCTGGCACCATGATCATTCCCTTTTCTTACAGACAAAGAAAACGTGGTCGATTAAGGTGCCTTAAGGTCACACAGCGATCCAGTGTTAGAGCTAGCTTCCGAACCCAGGCAGCCTGGCTCCATGGTCCACATCACACTATCATGCCTCTAGTAAAAGGTTCCAGGGTAACACCAGCCATAATGCTGATGACAGTGAAACAGGATCCACAAGGCAACACGGCTCTCAGATAAAACAAATTTTCTTCAACTCGTGTCTGGGTCAACCCACTTCATTCAAGGGGACACAGCACTCTCTCAAGTGTGGGGGTCATGTTCTTACTCCCGTTGTTAGCGTGCAGACTTCCAAAAGGGTTTTGACATGTCACACCACACCATAGAGAAAACACCAAGATACACCTGATACAAGAATCAGATCCGGTGGTCTGACTCTTACTAAAGACGGGACAGGGATTAAAACAAACAGAAAAAAGCGATGCTATCCTTACAGAAAAATACTTTGTATTAATGTGCTATAGGAAAAAATGAACATAAATATTCTATAAGAAAAAATGCATTAAAGAGGGTTTTTTTTTGGTACAATTCAATTAATTTTTAAGGTACATGAATGAAAACTGGTCATTTTGGGGGGGGAGTGGTGAAGTCTACTCCCCCCCCCATACCATAACAGAAATTCTAGTTTTTGAGGCTCTGCTGCTGTTCCATCCAAATACAGCTGCTGAAGTATTCCAATTTCGTGTAAGTGTAACAAACTTTAATCCACAAAGTAAGAAAAAGTTTTAGGAATGTATTCATAGCAAATACTCAGGGATGAAGTGCATTCTCAGGTATAAAAGTTATTATCATGCTACATTAAACAGCAAAACATCAGCTACAAGAGAAATCTAAGACTTATTCACATACTCCCCCACCAAATATTTTCTGAATCCAGCACTGGGGTGAAACTGCCCACAATCGCTGCCTGTGTCATGTGTACTCAGAGCAGAAAACCAGATATATTAAGTAAATATATAGTGCGTTCAAACGTGCTAAGAATTAAAAAAATAAAAAGAGTAAAGCGGGGGGGGGGGGGGGCCCCGGGGGGCTCAGTCAGTGAAGGGTCCGACTTTGGCTCAGGTCATGATCTCACGGTTCGTGAGTTTGAGCCCCGCGTCGGGCTCTGTGCTGACAGCTCAGAGCCTGGAGCCTGCTTCAGATTCTGTGTCTCCCTCTCTCTCTGCCCTTCCCCTGTTCATGCTCTGTCTCTCTCTGTCCCAAAAATAAATAAACACATTAAAAAATTAAAAAAAAAAAAAGAGTAAAGCGGAGAAGAGGGTGTGAGGAATTTGGGTGGGAAGCTCTGGAACTGTCGACAGAGGGATCAGGAAAATGAGAAGGCAATTTTTGAGGAAGCAAAGTGTGATGAAGGACAGTAAATGTCAGAGGTCCAGGGGTGCCTGGTGGCTCAGCCAGTTAAACATCTGACTTCGGCTCAGGTCATGATCTCACAGGTCATGAGTTTGAGCCCCACGTCGGGCTCTGTGCTGACAGCTCAGAGCCTGGAGCCTGCTTCAGATTCTGTGTCTCCCTCTCTGCCCCTCCCGTGACCGCTCTCTCTCAAAAATAAATACTTTAAAAAAAAAAAAAAAAGTCAGAGGTCCAAAAGTCCAGAGGCAAAGTCATGCAGGGCCCCATCAGTACATTAAGGATCTGGCCTTCATTCAGGGAAGCCACCGGAGGGTTCTGAGCATGGAGTGACACAGCAGTTGGAACACACACACACACACACACACACACACACACACACTCTCTCTCTCTCTCTCCCTGGTTGCTACACTGGGATACGACTGCAGGAACACACGTGGGAGATGTCACAGAAGCGGAGTCAAGGGGCCAACAGTAAAATAACCACTGAGGCTGTGATGGGGGCAGTGGGCATAATGATAATCATCAGATTCTGAATACAATGTGAAAACCTCAGGTTCAAATACAATGTGAATGTGAAAACTGCACTGACAGGGTTTGCCACAAGCCAAACATGGGAGGCAGAGAGAGGAGATAAGAATCACCCCTGAGTAACTGGGAGCATGAAACTGCCACTGGTCTGAGACAGAGACGACGGTGGGAGCAGCCAGTTTGGGGGAAATCTCAGAATTCGGGTCTGAATGTCTTGGGTCTGAGTTTTCCATTGGACATTCAAGAGGAGGAGTTAGGTTGGATACACAGGCCTGGAGCTCAGAGGAGAGGCTGGAGCTGGAAAGGCAAATATGGGAGAAGCCTGCCTGTGGCTGGTTTTTACAGATGAGAACTGACCTCCTCAGTAGAAGGTGTGCAGGTGGACTAGGAGAGCCAAGAACACAGTCCCAAGGCATGCCGACAGGTGCAGGTCAGGGAGATGGGGAGGAACCGGCAGTGAGAACAGAGCGGTCAGGGAGGTGGGAGGAAAGCCAGATGTTGTGCCCTACAAGCCAAGGGAAAAACGGGTCCCACCAGAGAGCAAGGGATGAGCTATTTCACGGGTTGGCAGCCAAATGCTTTTGTAAATAAAGTTTTATTGGAACGCAACCCGGCCCGTTAATTTATATCTCATCTGTGGCTGCCTCAGCTCTAGAAGGAGTGGAGCTCTAGAAGGCAGAGAGGAGCGGCTACAGCAGTTACCATAAAGCCTAAAATATTTACTACCTAGCCTTTTACACTGAAAGTTTGCCAATTGCTAAGCTACTTCAAAAGCCAATGATAATCAAAAAAGACTGAGGACGGGGGCACCTGGGTTTCAGTCGGTTGAGCGTCTGACTCTTGATTTTGGTTCAGGTCATGATCTCACAGTTCATGGGATCAAGCCCTGCTACGGTGCAGAGCCTGCTTGGAATTCTCTCTCCCATTCTCTCTGCCCCTCCCCTGCTCACACTCTGTCTCTCTCTAAAAAACAAACATTAGGTTGGGGCGCCTGGGTGGCTCAGTCGGTTGAGTGTCCGACTTCGGCTCAGGTCACAATCTCGCGGTCCGTGAGTTCGAGCCCCACGTCGGGCTCTGGGCTGATGGCTCAGAGCCTGGAGCCTGCTTCCGATTCTGTGTCTCCTTCTCTCTCTGCCCCTCCCCCATTCATGCTCTGTCTCTCTCTGTCCCAAAAATAAATAAAAACGTTAAAAAAAATAAAAAAACAAACAAACAAACATAGGGGAGGGTGGGGGATGGGTATTGAGGAGGGCACCTTTTGGGATGAGCACTGGGTGTTGTACGGAAACCAATTTGACAATAAATTTCATATATTGAAAAAAATAAAAATAAAAAACAAACATTAAAAAAATTTTTTTTTAAAAAGACAGTAACTGGACACTGCATTTGGTAACATGGAGATCACTGGTAACTTGCTTAGAAGCAGCTTGGGCGGGACAATTGGAACCCAGTGCATGTATGTATGAGGTGGCTCTCCTATTTGTGAGACACAGATGACAGACACAAACAAAACTACCTGTTAGCACTTTAAGAAGCCACACAATCAAGTGAGAAAAAGACAGCCTTCCATACTGCACCCGTGCTGCCCTTCCCTCTCCCTTCAAACTCTGGCTCAAAAACATCACCTCCCTTCCCAACCCCCCACCCTCCCCTTGGGCAGGTAGGAGCCAAGAGCTCCTCCAGGCAGCTCTCACCTGCACTCAGCTCTCACCTCTCACCTGCACTTGAGGACCTTGTTTGCTTCCAGGACTTTCCACAGGTTGTAAGCTCTTGGAGAGCAGGGACTGGGGCTTAGCCATCTGTTTCTCCAGGGACTGGCACAGAGCCGATACCAAACAAACCAGGTTTGGCACAAGCTACTGTCATGCTTGCCCCAAGGAGCACCTCTGGGCTCCATCAGGGTCCCTCGGAGAGAAGCGGCCCAGCGAGGGGCTGAGTCACTTCACCAGTGAAGAATGAACACTAAATGGGATGCAGAGAAAGCAGGGAGGGAGGCCCTGGGCCACCCCTGCAGCCCACCACTCACCAGAATGTGAGGAAATGGGAACCAGCTCCCAGGACAGGCATCTTAAACTGAAAACTTGTAAAAGAAAATAAACGTTATTAAGTCCTGAAAAGCAGGACTGCATTTCCGAGAGGAGGGAGGAAATGCCAACTCACCCGAGACAAGGCTTTCAGTTCAGGTCCTGTCCCCGCGGCCTCCTGCTTCTGCCTCCTGTCCTGGAGAAGCGCAGGGCCTCTGGAAGGCAGAGCTGGGGGAACAGAAGGGAGTAGCCAGAGGCCGAGTCTACACCGCGCCCCTGACCACCGGCGTGGAATCGGTCCCTTCCTGCTGAGTCTTAAACCACAGCCATCAATCAATGGGAAAAGGCTTCAACAAGTGCAGAATCGAACGCTCGGGCACGAACAGGACAGCACTAATTTGGAAGGGGGTGATCTGCCTACTACTACTACTCTCCCCGGGGGCTGCCACGGAGCGGAGAGGGGTTCCCCTCTCTGGGAGCATGAACTGCGGAAGTGTCCGGCTAGGCTGACCCGGGGCAAGTCAAGGCCCTTCCCTGCACCGCTGCTTGATGCTCGGACTCAGGGTAAACTTCCAACCCGGTGGGTTCCTCCGACCTACCAGCCTAGAGCCTAGGGACAACCACTCACCCGCATTCGGGCCCCAGAAGCCCCTGGCCCCACGACCTCGCCCTCCCCGCCCTCTGAGGGGGATCGCTAGTCCCCGTCCATCAGGCCCGACCACCTGTCACCCTCACCTCGGTTCTCAGGCCCTGTCGTCACCGCTCCTCGCTGGCCCTTGAACGGGAGCCCATTCCTCCCGCGCGGCCTTCCCCGGGCGGGACGGACGAAGGCAGTCGGGGTCCCCGCAGTCCGGCCCCGGCCCGCCCCGGGCTTTGTGCTGGGGGCGCCTCGCCGCGGCGGGGACTCCTGCCCGCGGGACCCCGCGCTCCTACCCGTGCCCGCCTCCCCCTGCATGTCTGCGCGGCGCGCGCGCTCGCTCCCCCTCCCGCCCCGGGCACGCCCGGCGTCCAGCCGGCCCCGCCC